AAGTCTAAAGAGAATGTTTTCAAAGAAGTAGAGGTAAACATTGCCCAAGTGTCAAAATGAAAAGTATTGAGAACACTGTGATCAGTGTGTATGAAGTGGTCAGAGGCGGGACAGCCCCACATACCCTCTACAGAAAGGCTCACAGTGACAAGGGGCCATTGTGACAGAAATTAGAGTGGTTGGAATGAAAGGTTTTGAGGACCTCAGCTGATGATTACCTTTGGCGCATATCCCTGACTTTATGTAAAAAGAAAACTTGCTCCCAATAGAGAAAAAGAGGAGCCCAGAGGCTGTTTTGACTTTAGAATGAGGACGGGGGATAGTGGGTCTTCTACTAGCAAACAGTCAAATCGTACTGTAAGAGGTCACACAATGTCACTGTATACGATCTCTCAGCTAAACTTGATCCAAAACCATAGGCGAGGAAAGGGGGCTTTGGAATGCTGACGTGCACCAGGTTTCCCAGCTGCAAGGCAGAACACAAGGACGTGAACCCAAGCATCTCAACACTTTCAAATGAAGTTTGGGAAAGTGAGTCTGGTTGTCAGAGCCTTTCGAAGAGACAATCATTATATTTAATTCTCCAGAAGAAACTCTCTTGAGTCGTGATCCCAACCTGACTGGACCAAAAGTCCAAAACTCCAAAGCAAACAGTACCAAATGCAATCCCTGTTTCTGTGGCCTTGTCGACACTTGTCCAGACAACCTGGTAATCTGCTTGACGGCCATGAATCGTCTGCTCCTCTTTTTTGCCTGCCTACCCGTTGGTGGGAGCTTGGAACGATTTGGGTCCCTCCGCAGCTCCCTCTGCCACCTTGCCTGCTGAGCAAGGTTGTTATCAACCAAGCTGGCTCTGTGAGATGTTCCCCTCCAGAACTGGTGATGAGAACTGAGCAGCCACAAACACTGTCTGAGGGCCTGATCCTGCTGGGCTCTGCCAGTGCCTTCCCATATCATCTCCCCGTGCCCATTCATCTTCATGACAGCTCAGTGAAGGAGCATACCACAAGAGTTCCATTCGTTGTGGAACAGGACACCTCCACATTGATTAAGAAAATGTGCCCCTCAGGAAATGCAACTAGCAAAACGGTGCAAATGCATGACCTCAACTCACGTTGTTCCAGCTCCAAAGCACCCTACTCAGCTACTGTTTGCTCCTTCTGTGGAGTCTGTAAACATACGAGTCATTATAGATCCACTCTACAATTGGCAGCAATAATGGATATTTCTTGCAATCAGTAAATTCCCACTTATGTGCAGTTCTGCACTGCACTGTCAGTGATAGACACTCTGCGTTTCTAACTCTTACTCTTCAGGACAAGTGCATTGTCCTGCCATCAAAAAGGTAGTTTCAGCTTCCCTAGAAGCTGAAAAAGCTGCCTGCAAGAACAATCTCAATGTTCCAAAGAAGAAGGAAGAGGGGCTTGCCAGGGTGAAGAGCTGTTGATAAACAGTAAGCATACAATAATCACGCAATACATAAGCTTTTCCAAAAAGCTGGGATCCTAAGACCTCAGACATATGGCCCAAAGAGAGGATCTTAGCAGAGAGGCAGGCAAGCCCGAGATGGAGGCTGTGGCAGGTGAGTCCGGGCTAGAACCAGGGAACCAGACCCATCTATCTCCTAAGCAGCATGGCGCCAGGAAGTGTGCCTAGGCCTGGATGTCCCAAGCATTTTTCTTTTCTTCCTTTTCGGCCGATCACACAGTGACTTTTCACTTAGCTCAGGACCCTGTGCCTCTTCATATAGCCAGTCCCAGATAGAAAAGTACAGCTCCATATGGCAGTCAGCCCTTTGGGGAAAGGTGACTATCGATAGAATGCCTGTTTGGAAATCAGAGGGTGGGATGAATGAGCGCTGCTCCCATCGTCCCAATGCCTGGGAAAAGCCAGCGTGTGCACTACAGCCGGTTGGGGAGGAGGAATCGACCCTGCGATTCCTGACCTCACACCTACACACGCTCAGCCGTCCGGTTGGGATTGCCCATCACCTCTAAGTGTTGAAAAGTAAAGAAAAGAATGATGGTGAAAAGAGAACCATAAGAATAGCATAAGGAATAGGGATTGGTTAAAAACTGAAAAATACCAAAGAGGCCACATACCCTAAACGCAAAAGACAACACATTGTTACATTAAACTGTCCTTCACAATCTTTTTAAAGCGAAAAGATTATATGGTGAAAAGAAATCAGGGCCACACACCGCAGTGTCTCATGCCTGTATCCTGCATTGGAGGCAGAGGCGAGAGGATCACTGATCCCAGGAGTTCAAGACCCAGCCTAAAAGCAACCATAGTGAACCCACTCGGACTCAAAAAAGGACAAAGAAAAACCATCCAATCAGCACAGGCAGTCCCCTAATAAAGCCGAACGGAGAAACTATCCTCATATGGTTCAATTTTCTTTCTGGCCTACCACGAGAGCTCTCACCACCAGGTGGCACAATGAAAACCCGGAACAAAGTGCCCGTTCGGCAACCCCACATTTAGAGAAAACGAATGGAATCAACCCAGTGTAAAATCCAAAGTCAGTTAGACAATGGCTTCAATTTAAGCCACAGTCCGTTGTGCCCAATTCACACAAGCACCTCCTGAAACCTACAGCCTCCCACCCTCCTATTCCACCATTCCCCAGTAAATCAGGAAGAAACTTAATTAACTACAGCCATCAGGACAAGGTCCCTGGAGTCAAGGAGGTCCAGTGAGCCCTTGTAAGAATTCTAGCCATTGTCAGCATCATGAAAGAGAAAGCAACACCAGTTTACTTAAGCCACTAGTATTTGGAGTTTCTATTATGTTGAAACCTACATTTCACTTAGTAAAAGTGGAATTGTAGGCTGAGGCAGGAGGATCACTTGAGGCCAGTTGGAGACCAGCTTGGGCAACATAGTGAGACTCCATCTCTACAGAAAATTTTAAAAATAAAAAAGAAGTGGTATTATGACATTTTTGTACTGTTTTAAATTTAAATTAACTTAAAGTTTTTTAAAAACTAAAGTACTTAGGAAAGAAAACACTGGGCTGCGTTGGATGGGAGAGGATTCTGCTGGGAGCACAGCAGAAGCTTAGCAAATGCCCACTGAGGAGGGAAGGCAGGTGTGTCCGCAGAGGCCAGCGAACAGGAGGACTGCTGAGGGTGACTGAGGCAGCACTTCCTCTTCAGAGCAAAGCTCCCAGGCCCAGGGCAGCGCCCCTAACCTAGCCAGGGTGAGGGACCTGCTGGACCCACAGGCGGGAGGAGAAACAGCCCACGGGCCTTCCGATTTGCACGTGGTATGAGCGACCCCTGATTTAGGCCTCATATATTTAGTGGTAATGTTTGTATTTTTACTTCCCTTTTTGTCATTTTTAATTCAATTGTTATTTCTCTTTCTCAGTTTAAGTTTGCCATAGTCTCTATGAGATTAATTCATTAGATTATCCAAACTCAAAGTCAGCTGAAGACAGCTAAGAAGAACCCCCCAGGTGGAAAAACTGGACGAGGGGAGGGAGGAGTGGAAAGGGCCCTGGAATTCCCTGGCAGCCGCCCCCGCCCCTGGCCCCATTCCCAGAGTTGCCCCTTTGATGACTGCTGTGACAGCAATCACTGGACCACTGTGCTCTGAGTCCGGGGCTCCTCCCTGCCCCTGCTGTCTTCCTTTGATCTCCTGGATGCCGCCTTGTTTTCCAGCACATGGAAACCCCTGGAAATGCTGGCTTGTCTGGGGAGTCTCCTCGGGAAATGCCAAGAAGGGAGAGTGGGGAGTGTCCTGAGGATGTGATCCCGAAGCCCAGCAGGGGATCCTGAAACTGGCAGGCCCCACTGAGCCTGGCCCGGCTTGAAAGAGACAATGAGCAAGGTCGCACAGGACCTTTAGAGCATGTGGCTGAGTACGCCGGGCATTGAGGGACAGGAGTCAGACCCTTGGGAGAGCACTCAGCTGGAGGGTCTGCGGGAGCTGGGGAGCGTGTCCTGTGTCCCAAAGAGTCACTGGGCTTCCCCTGGTCTGCCACCTCACATTCAGCTTCACAGAAAAGGGCCAGTGGCTTGGTCCTGGTCGTTGCCAGCATTCTCTAATCATTCAAAGGAATGTGTCCAGAAATACAGGACCTCGTTTCTGGAAAAGCAGGTCCATTTCAGTGAGGATTTACTGGGACCTTCCTATGAGACTACATGGGTGTTCGGTGCCGGTGCCAGCAACACAAACAGGGCACCACACAAGTCCCGGTGGCCCCAGAGACAGACAGGCCAACGAGTGCCCAGGAAGAAGCTGAGTGAGACAGAACTCTTACAAAGGGTTTCAGGAGAGAAAGCCTCCCAGACCTGAGACCTGGGGATAGCCCCTCAGAGAGCTGTGAGCTGCGGCTGTGGGCTGACCAGCCAGTCCCTCCGGCCCTCCGGTTTCACTCTGGCCTCAGCAACATGTTGACGTCTTCGGGGCTCCGCAGCCTGGAGCCCACATGTACTTCTCTTCACCTGGCTATGTCTTGATATTCCCGTCTCTCTCCACCTGGGAAGGGAGGCCATCCCAGGTTTCAACAAGAAAATAGACACACTTGCTAGATTCCATGGTGTCTGCACACCTGTGGTCTCACATCTGGGTGTGGGGATCCCCGTCCCTTTTGCACAGTGAGGACAGAGCTGGTGCCCAGGACCCTAAACCACTGCTCATGTAAGAGCGAGTGTGGACACTCCCTTTGGAGTGCATGTGGGTATCTGCCCTCAGAATGGTCGGTGACTTACTGGCGATTGGCAGGATGCCCCAAGTTCACCAGCCCCTGACCTTACAAGGTGAGAGTGACCTCCGTGGGCATTGCAGGCCTCTCTCAGGACACTCGCAACCTATTCCAGGCATCAGGATTCTAGTTCTCACAGCACCTTATGGCCTGCTCATCCCAAAACCCACGAAGGCATTTCCACCCTCACTGACACCCCGTTCCTACCCCCACGTGCACCATCACTCTCCAGCTAAGAAACCACGTTACTACGCTTCAGCTGCAGTTCCAGAAACCACGTTACTTACGCTTCAGCTGCAGTTCCAGCGAACTCAACGCCATCAGAGAAAGGATGCAGACACCTTGGGTGATGTTTTTGGCACATCTGGCTGCTTTCCTGGAATGGTCACATTGAGTTGCTTCTTCTTTGCACACAGGGTCTAGAAACAAATTCTTACTCTTTATCACCAGGCATGCTGTCTGAGCCTGTTCCCCATCCCGTGTTCCCCACAAAAACCATGCTCATCCCCTGACCTCCATGTCCCTCAAGCCGAGTTACTTCTTATTTGTGGTTTGGTCTGTATGCACCTCCCAGGAAGTATTCTGAGCCTGCAGCACTCAAAGTGTGGTTTCGAGACCGGGAACGCTCCATCCTCTGGAAGCTGGTGAGAAATGTAGCTTCCCTGGCCCTGCTCACAGCTACTGGGTCAGAATCTTCGGGTGGGGAAACTAGGAACTTGATTTTTAACATGACTTCAGGGGATGCTGGTTGCTTCTGAAGTGTACAAGGAGCGGCGGATAAACATCGAAGACATGTTTCACAGGGACAAAGATGAAGTCTGGTGTGGGAAGGGTGCATTATTCAGTCTTTTCAGAGCCCAATTTGCTGCTGGAGTTGGAGGCTAGGAGGGTCTTGGTGGAGGGAACTCAGAATCTCCACCCACAAACTGTGCCGCTGAGCTGTGCCGGCTGTGGCCACAAGAGGGCACCCGTGACGACCTAATGGGCGCACCTCAGCCATCCCTGGGGGCATCTTCCTCTTCCTGGTTCTCCACTGCTCCAATTGCAAGCGGCCACCCGTCCTGGAAACACCTTTGAGGAATAGGGACAGCCATAAGGAGCCAGGCCCCTAGTACCAGCACTTGGCAGCGCGTCCCTGGCTTGGGAAGCTGCATTCAGGGAGGTGCAGAGAACAGGGTTGGGGGCTCCTGCTCTTGGTTTCCTCAACCCCTGCCCAGGACCCCCAGGCTGGGGCCCCCGTCCTGATACCCTCGGGGGAGCAGACACCTGCAGGACATCGCGCCAGGCCTCCCGGGCTCCCCACCTCTCTCTCAAGAGGCCCAGCGCTTTCTCTGGGGCCTGTGACTCACCCACGATCCTAGCGTCCACTGTCATCCCTTTCCATCCTTTCCTGCCTATTACCCATCCTCCCAATCCCATCCCACCCCCACTGCTGAGTCCAGCTCTCACCTTCCACTCATACCTCTCTCACTTGTGTTCCTGTGCCGGGCTCTGACCTCCACTGGGGCACCCAGTGGAGGGCCCCTTTAACCTGCGGAGGTGCTGGGGTAGCTAGGGCTGGGTCTCATGTTCAGGGCACTCTCTCTCCCATTGCTGGTCTTTCCCAACCCACCTGCCTAGGTGCTGTTCCTATCCCCTGAACAGATGATTTAAACGGCTTTGGAAGAAGAGAGGCCATGTGTGGGAGAGACAGGGTGTAACCACAGAGATGAGGCCTGGAGGGAGGAGTTTCTGCCCCAGCAAGTGAATTTAAGGGCCAGACCTGAGACCTGGAAGGCTCCAGTGGACTCCAGGTATCTGAAGAGCAAAGGCAGGGGCTGCTGGAGCCTGCATCATGTCGAGTCGGCAGAGGAGGAAGGCTCTGCCCTGGGCACTGTCACTGCTTCTCATGGGCTTCCAGCTCCTGGTGACCTATGCCTGGTGTTCTGAAGAGGAAATGGGTGGTAATAATAAAATAGTCCAGGATCCTATGTTCCTCGCCACAGTGGAGTTTGCCTTGAACACTTTCAACGTGCAGAGCAAGGAGGAACATGCCTACAGGCTGTTGCGTGTTTTGAGTTCATGGAGAGAGGACAGCATGGACAGAAAGGTTGGTGACCACATCCTCTTCTGGCCTGTCCTTCTCCATCTGCCCCTAAGTGAGGGACCAAGGTGTCTGGTCTAGGAGACTTGGTTCACCATCGGCAGGCCATAGTTGGGTAGTCCATAACTAATTGCGGTAGTTTCAGTTTTGGAAAACATTGAACTTAAAAAAAATTTAAGATTAGGTAAATGTCTATTCACATGCAAGATGTATTTTTCAATCTTCATGATTTTTATGATATTGTGTAACTGAAGAGTGACTTCAGAATAAGGACTTCTAAGGAGATGAAGCTGACAAGAAGAGAAAATAACCAAAGAGACTGAGAAATATTGCAAGGTCATAAAATGAAAACGGAAAAGCAAGGACACACACACACACACACACACACAGAGACAGAGAGAGAGAGAGACAGAGAGAGAACAGTGAGAATTCAGGGCAATAAAGAACACCATCAGCCCTGAGAGGCCGCTGTGAGAGGTCAGTTCTCTGATCTCCACCTTCTCTGGGCTCCTTGCTCTGTCTGCACTTAATGAAGTGAAGGCTGATTTACACTCTTCCTCAATGGACCTTCATCCTAAAATGCTTGCCTTTTTGATGAAATCATTAACGTGGTCAGGAATGCACAGTTCAGCTGGGCTTCAGGCATGAACAGTTAAAATGCCCTCCTAATGGAGCACTTCTGATTTAGAGAGAGAAGGAGCATTACTCTTCCTTTCTCGGAAGCAAGAGCCTAAAGGAAGGGCAGAGGGACTCGAGTGCCGCACACAGCTTAAGCTCTGGAAAGACTCTGTGCAAGGCCCTGGCTGGTTCTCTGCCTCCTGGGGTGGATTCTTCTCTGCCATCCTCAGGATTGCAATGCTGGTACAGAGGAATTCTCCTCCTTGCTCATTTCCTGCCTCCTCTCAGGAGAATTAAAAGCCTGATGCAGCCCTCAAAGGGGCATCTGGTCAAGTAATGGTGTCTGCTAAGAGTCATGCTGGAACCTTGGAAGTCTCAGAGATTGAGACTGGTCAGGCCTCATGCTTCTGCTTTCCCAGTGCTTTGCTTGATTCTCCAAGACCTCGGTGTAAGCCTCCATTCTTAATACCGTTAGAATAAAATCTAAGCTCCTTACTGTGGTCTCTAAGTCCTAAATGACTGTAAGTCCTAAAAGCCTTCCACGTGGCTTCCTGGATATGGCAATCCCAGCGTCAGTTTGGGGGCTGGGAAGAATAGATGGGTGGGAGGGAGGCTATGCAGTGGAATGAAATAGAATGGAGTGGGAAGGAGGGCAAGGAGAACTTCAGCATGCACTTTGCAGTAGGGCAGACGGTGTGTCTTGAAGCTGTTTTCCCAGGGTTTGTGCCTGTGTGTAGTGGGAGCACTGTGTGTCATTTTTCTCGCTGGAGGTCGGTTGGAAGGTTTTGACAACACGCTGTAGATGAGGCTCCCTCTGTCCCAGGGCTCAGGTTACCCTGAAAACTCTTGGAAATCCAACACCCTCCTGGACATTTGGCTCTGTCCTCTGGGAATGCAGCTGCAAGATCACATGGCTGCTGAGAGTGAAGCTGGAGTCTCACCGTGGGAAATGGGGGTGGGTGGAGGTGGAGAATGTGTTAGTGGGGTCTAGCTTAGCCTGCATCCTCCCCAGACCCACCATGCCCACCTGCTTTTTGCTCTTAACTCCTCAGTCTAGAGAGGATCCCCTGGGTTTTACCTCCAGTGCGCTGATGCCAGGCCCATGGGCAAGCTCTCAAATGCAGTAGAGTGCTGGGGTCTCTCCTGCACAAATGGCATCTTCAGTAGCAGCTACTTAGGGGCGGGAAGGCAGTGCATCCACTTTAATCTCTTTTTGTCCAACAGTGGCGAGGTAAGATGGTGTTCTCCATGAATCTGCAACTGCGCCAAACTGTATGTTGGAAATTTGAAGATGACATTGAAAACTGCCCTTTTCAAGAAAGCCCGGAGCTGAACAATGTAAGATAGGGCGTCAGCTTTCCTCAGGTCCACAACTGTGGATGCTGCATGGGTTGTGGTGTGGGCACAGGAGCAGCTGACAAAGCCATTCCGAGCGACAAAGGCAAGTGAGCCCACAGCAGGCTCTAGCAGGCTGCCCTGCTTGTGCCTTAGTGGGAAGCCCAGTGAGGCAGGGAGCCCAGGGCTTCACTTTCAGGCCCCCAGCCAATCTGAGTTTCCTGACTCTGCCCTCTGACACCATTGCAGCTGCCTGCACCTGGGCCACATGGCCTTCAGAACCTTCTCTCTAGTCTTCCTCCCCATTCTTCCCTGCCTTCTAGAGAAAGAGCCTGGAGACAATGGTGACAATGTCTGTGGATACTTTTCTCAGGGTTTCCCTACCCTGTCCTAGACCCAAAAGTGGTGAAGGCTGAGAAGAAGCCCCACTGCCCTTGCTCCTAGGCCCTGCTGAGTTGCAGATCCTGCTCTAGGGGACGAGCTCCAAGCGAATCCTGGCTCTGGGAAAACTTCCCGTTCTTAGTCAACCCCCTTATTGTAAGATTAACAAACAGGTAACTAATTGCCTAAGTCTTGGAACTGCTTCCACGGGACAAAGTGTTCTCCTGCTGCTCTTGGGTGCAGGGATCACACCAGGACAGCCTGGGGTTTCCCTGAGGGGCACGGGCTGGAGGAGGAGGCATGGCACAAGTGACCCTGGCTAAGGAGGGAGCCTCAAATCATGATGTAGTTCAGGATTGGCCTCAGGCTCAGGCTAGACCTGAAGGCCAGAGCCACGTGGCTCGATTGCTGGCCCGGGAATGGGCAAGGTGGAGATGGAACCTGTGTCAAGGGCAGATGCCACAGGATTCCGGAACCTCCCCAAACCCCGCCCTACTGTCTCTTCCTGTTTGTTCCCTCAGACCTTCAGCTGCTTCTTCACTATTGAAACCATGCCCTGGAAGACGTATTTTGAACTCCTGAACAAGACCTGCTCAGAGGGGCTCTCCTGAGTGGAAGCCACTCACATGCCTGGCCTCATGCTGCCCTCTCCCCCGTGGACACCAGCTGTTTCCAGGAGTTGCACATCAGTGGCTGAGCAGCTCCGTGCATATTTGTTCTCTTACTTTGCAAGTGTCTGAGGTTTTATGACTTGGCATTTTAGAAACTCCTCATTGTCCAGGTTCCTCATGTAGAATAGGTCATTAAACATCAGCATTTCCAGAAGCTTCCTGTGCCATGTTCTGGAGGGAGGGGCTGAGCAGTTGATGGAGTTCCTCTCAGAAAGGCAGCCTATTTGCATCTGTGTCAGTGGGGTCCTCCCTCCCTTAGGACCTCGTGAGCCATCTCCAGGTGGCACAACCAAGACAAGTCTGAGCTGCTGTCTCTATACTCATGGCTGATGGTGACCCATGTGGCCAGAGGTAGAATGTCTGTGATCTTGCAGGACACCCAATGTGCACGATTGAGCAAGACAGGGCCTCTGGGTCCCACTCAGCACGTGTGGCCTCTGCTCTCGAGGGGAGGCTCACACAGCTTTCCTGGTCCATGGAAGGTTGGTGAATAGAGGAAGGACTTCTAGCTTCACCCTTATAAAGTTGTCCTGGCATCTGGGGCAGTAGCATCTTCTGGAAGAATCTTAGAAATGTCCAACTTCAGGGCCTCTGACCTTTGGAAAATGCATCTGCACTCTCACAAATCCCCAGGGGTGCAAAAATCCCCTGAAAATGCAGGATTTGCAGGAATGCACACCCCCAGGGGATGCAGTGTGAGATGCATGGGCAGACTAGATGCTACTAAGACCTTGCCCAAATCACCTAAACCAGGGTTTGGCAAAAAAATTTCTGAAGAAGCCAGAGAGTAACTATTCTGGCCTTTGTGGGCAGATGGTCTCTCAGCTACTCAGAATTGCTGTCATATCTTGAAAGGAGCAATAGCCAATGTGCAAACATATAAGAGTGGTTGTGTTCCAATAAGTGTTTATTTACACAAACAGGCAGTGAGCTGCTTGGGTCTCAGGCCATAGTTACCAGTCTCAGATGCTAAGAGCTCCTCTGGACCCTGGTGCCCCTGAGACACACCATGCTACCAGCTCCCAAGCCACGCACCTGTATCTCCCCCAGCTTCACTCAGGAGTTGATCTGTGCAAATGAGCTCCATCAGCAGAGCAGGTGCGCCCTGCAGGTGTGGGAAAGGTCAAATCTGAGGGGCACATTCTGTCATGGAAGTGAGCAGGTCTATGTCCCAGTCTTCCCAACCTCAGGGCACCCAATTCAGAGTTGAATTTCTGCATTTGCATCCCAGTGGGATATACCCCTATCGTCCACACTCTGGTCTCTAGAAAGAAACCGTCACATCCTCCAGCTAAAAATTAAATAAAGTACTCTTTCTGGACAAGACTTAAGTTTCTTCTCCATGAAGATGCCTTCAGCATGTATCTGTAGTTACCTGTGAACTTCAGAGGGACTAGTATACCCTGAAGGCAAGTTCTAAATACCCTAAACCCAAGTTCTTGTTCTCCCTATCCCCCAGGAATCTGAACCACTAAGTCTGGGCAGGGCCAGGGAATTTGCATGTCTCACCAGCTTTCCTGGAACAGACCTGTTCCTGGTCCCCAGACCACACTTGGAATGGTGCAGGTTCAGAAGCCATCATTGCGGGTACATGCAGACCAACCACAAGTGAGAAGTATCTCACCTCAAACGGCATTGGGGTGAGGTTGAGAATGATTTCTTCATTGCACACTGAATTGGGGAAGGGGTCAGAACACTATGCCTGACTGTAAAGAAAAAGGAGAGTTTCTAGACGCCAGGCAACAGGATGGTGCCTCTGGAGAAGAGAGAGGCTGCACTGGCCCTGACAACCTGGCCCTCTGCACAGCAACTCCTCAGAGCTGGAGCTTGTATTTAGTCAGTTCCCATAATTCATTGTTTAAATTCTTCGAATTTTTTGTGTTATGAAAAGTGGTATGATGAATATTTATTTTATATTTATTGTTGTATATATATGGTTATTGCTTTCTTACAGGCAATGTGCTCAGAGATTAAACTATTGCCCATTATTTTTATTAAAATTTCTTAAGAATTTTTAATAAGCATTGTTACAGTGTCCTCTATTAAAGCAAGTAATAGGTCACTATCATGAGGTTGCTTTTGTACCTGGAACTCTTTCATAAGCAAACCAAAACTTAACTTGGAGGCATTTCTCATGGCTGACTTACAAATTAAAATCTAGCATCAATCAATCACAAACAGCCAGCCAGTTAGTTATATAACTAGGGACCTCTGATCACAAGATACCCAAATAAGGCCAACACCTAGGACCGGGAACATCACCATTCCCTGGGTGCTGGTTAGAAATGGGATTTTCCTGGCCCCACCCACACCTACTTGGTCAGTGTCCTGGGAAGTGGGGTGGCTAAAACTTGGGTTTTAACACGCACTTAGGAGATTCTGGTCTCTCTGAAGTTTACAAGTGCCTGCAGATATATGTTGAAGTCATTGCACCTATCATATCATGCCCAAATAAGGTAGACATCTAGCTAAGCCAATCAGGTAATTTCTTTACTTTGCTACCTTGTTCAGCCTGTGAAACCTTGCTGTTTATGCTGCTAGAGAAAAGCTTTCTCAATCTTTTCCAGTTTTGAGTGTTGCCCAGTTCATGAATTCTTCTTTGCCGAAATAAACTCTATTAAATTCACTTTGTCTAAAGTTTTTCTTTAACAATGTAGTATCAGATGTGGAATCCTAAGGCAACCTCCAGCAGCATCTAGGAAAACCTACTACCCAGCAAAGGCACCAGCTGAGCCACGGTGCTGTCTTGCTGTAGCTGGAAAGTGGGGGTGAGTTTCCTTTCAAATAGGAGCTCCAGAAACTTGCATTTTGACCCCTCCAACTTTATTTGTGCATTTCCTTAGCCAGTCTCCATTCAGAATCAGATTGGATCCAATAAATAGCAGAACTGAGACCAGTGAGAGCCCTCAGGTAGGTACTTTCTGAAAATTGATTTATCCAAAAGAAAGGAGCCTGGCACTCCACTTGCTGGGATACTGGCTAATTTTATGTATGATAATTAGGGACCACAAACCTTTATATTTTTGGACAAACAAGTTAACTTTGCTAAGGACAGTTTAGGATGACAGCATGCACATGGGGAAGTTTTAATCTTGGCAACATTGTTCATTTGCAAGGTGCAATAGATAAGAATCGAAAATACCTGAAAACAGTATCACCGTCATCACTAACAAACAGGCCATTTACTGTTGCTTACCCCCTAGTTTTCACTAGAAATTCAAGCTAATAGTAGTTAAGAGTTATAACTAACACATGGTAATTAATGCTAGAAATAATAAGAGAACCAACTCCGTATGTAAGAATAGTAAGACAAGTTTTTGGTAGGTGAAGCTATGAGATGTAAAGGATGTGTTTTTCTTTAAGAAAAAGGTATTTTTTTTAACCTAAAGTAGAATGGCAGGTTGTTCCACAATGGAAAAGGGAAAGCAGATAGAAAAGAAGCTGTACCAGGTTTGTGGAAAGATATCTTGGGAAAGATTTCATGTGTGATAAAGTTTGATAAGATTTGAAAGAAATTGTTTATAATTTGTTTAATTGATTATTCATATCAAAAGTATACTGATGTAACACTAGAATTTGGCCTCCTATGTTAAAAAGACAAGGATATCTTGAATTATTGTACTGCCCTAATGGGAAATTGTGACAGTTGTTTTTTAACCTTTTAAGAATTCTAGCTAGGAAACAAAGACTGTCTTATCGAAACAATTTATTGTGCTTCATGTTGTGTTTTGTCAAGTCTTTAGTTACTTTAGAAAACCAAAACCTCTCTGTTAAAGGAGTCAAGGTTTTCACTGTAATAATGTATCTTTCTGTGTTTGCCTTTAAAATCTATTCATCACCATCTTGAGTAACAACATTTTGTCACAGTGACTTCATGTCCTATTTAATCAGGTATTCAAGCCTTAATACTTTTGACCACTTTCCCAAATCAAATTTTTTTTTTATTTTTTCTTGCTTCTTTTTTTAAATTTTAAATTTTTTTAAAAATTTATATCCCAAATCAAATTCTACATTAAGTCTTGTGACCTTAAACTAACTTTGGGAGTTTCCAGCTGACCCATG